CTGGCTAGAAGGGGCTGCGCCCATGGCCCCCCGGCCCATGACGCCGCAGCACGTGCGCTGCCGCACCACCGGCTGGGGGAGCACGGGGCAACTGACTTGCTGTCTAGGGCGGTATCAAACCGCGTGTACTGCCAACACGAGGCACTGCATTGGAAGTTATGCGGTGTACATGCTTTCAATATCCGGGTTCAGAGGCTGGATCGGTGATCATGCTCCCGCTGGCTGCCAAGTGCCGACCATGTCACCAGGCCTCATACAGCGTGCAAGGACACGAGTCTTCAGTCTGATCTACACATACCTTCATCAAAAATGCGTTATGACTGCAATCCAGGGGTTGAAAACCATCTGTGAGCCTGATCACTACGCGATCTTTTGCTTCCTGGAAGCAAGAGCACAAAATGCACGGGATTGCTTGGAGCGAGGCCTATGAGTATAATCTCACTGTATGGTAGGCCGATCAAACTTTTTCGCACACAACTGTAGTTCACGCTGCACCGAGGCACTGGCTAATTCAGCATTAGTAAATGGTAGTTGGCCAAGGGCCACAGCGCTACTCGGGGGCTGGTAGGTCCTTTCACATGTTTGTGCTATACACAATGGACCTTTGAAGATAGGTGGGCTCCCCGCCAAACATTTCCTCGCCAACATCGTTTGTATGAGGTTGTCGGTGCTCCCAGCTGATTGGCAGAGCATACCGGTGCGAGAGGTGACTCTCAATCGCAGCGCCTTCGTGCAGCAAACTGCGCCCTTTGTGGACACGCCGCAAATGGTTGCATTTCGTACAAATGCCTAAATGTACACAAGCTCCAAGGGGATGATGTCATGAACGGTCCTGACAGCTCTGGGCTGTACACCCTGGTTCAATTGTTCGGCCTTTTGGAAGACGAATGTTTGAATTACTGGTTCGTGGGGTTGCTCTGGCTGATCGAGCACAGCTTGCTATTTGTAATAAGCAGGACACCATGAAATTCGGTGACAGCATAAAATGCCTGCAATCAAATAGAAAATCACCTGGGCTGAGTGCAGCAGGCGACAGATACAGCAGCTAAAAATCAGGCAATGTGCCGGCAGGTGAATTCGTCTGGGGTCATGCTGAGATGCACAAAGGCGCACGGCAGCGTTGCATGTGCTGTGCGGATGTGACCACCGGGGTGGATTAATAAGGGTATTGCGGGGCATTGGGGTGGGTTGCAACCCCATGCTTGCAATCAGGTTGTTTGGAGCGCTCATGTTTCCAGAGCGCTGTTGGTGTCCGCACAAAATTCAGTTGCTAACGGCAGCATGAGGGTGAACATGCTGTGATGAACGTGCAAGAAGGGGGCTCGATTGGGGGGTTTGTGCGAGGCGCGCTGGCGGCCCAGCAGGCACCCCATCCAGTTGAGGCAACCCTCTCAAAATGCTGCACCATGAAGAAGCTGCAGCGCAAAACGCTAGCTTAAAGCAAATGATCAAACGCATGTGTTCTGTGCTCACGCCATACCCTGCTCGTTTTGCAAGGTATCGGCATTGGAGACGGCGACCGCCTCGCCGGCCGAAGCAACCGCCATCAGGCCGCCGCCCGCGTTGCTGATGCCGGCAGCCGTCGGGCCATCATCAGTCACGGCCACGCTGCGGAGGGGCAGGTTGTATGGTGGGCGCACATTGTGAGCATGGCAGCGGCGGCAGGGAATCCATGATGCAGGCATTTGGTTTTATGTGACATTCACGAGGTGTTCATTTTCAAATCCCCCCTTGTGTGTCAGGTACTGGGAGTGCGCATGCACCTGCAGCAGGACAGCCTCTGACCGGGCCTCCACGCCCTGGCCCACCTGTTTGAGAAGACGGCATGGGTCTGCCCGGCCCCTTTGCTGCGGCCCACGGTGGCGATGTCGTACACATCTGTGGTGGATCCGTAGGCCACCTCGGATGCGTCGGCGCCGTCCTTGCGGATAGACATCGCGTTGGAACCCGCGAGTGCGACGACGCCGTTGTCGGTGGCGGCAACGGCCGTGACACCAAAGACAGCGATGGGCACGGCCGGGATGGCACCGCCGCCCGCCTTGGCCCCACTGTGGGTGGACACCGAGGCGCGCGCGCTGGGCACGATGTCGCCGGCGATGGTCATGGAGGTGCCCTCATTGTGCTGGATGCCCGACGAACGGGCGTTTGTCTTGACCTCGGCCTGTGGGCATAGATTAGTGGCCCCAGAGGGGGAGGGCGGGACTTCCAGTTAGAATATGGCATGTATTGGATGATGATGCATGCCCTGGACCCTATAATGCAAAATCGACACGTCCACGGCCACCCGTCAGCATTCAGCACAGATTCAGCTCACGTTGTGCGCCTGAGCAAAAGTGGACAGCTTGCCCAGCGGGTTGGCGCCTTGTGAGGCAATGGTTCCCACATCACTGTCGTCAAAATCACGCAGCACGCGGGCAGCAGAAACTCCTGCGTGCGGGCGAGAGGATTGTGGTGCAGCATGTTACGTGGGGCCTGCACTCGCGGGACACGGATCTGCTGCCTGCTCAGGCGCTCCTGCCAGACCCTGATGTTGCTCCAGGAGGAATTCAGGGGCAGCCCGGGCGAGCGCACCTGGCAACACCAACCCTGACGTGATGGCAAGGAGGCAGCACATCATGCGCGCCATGTTCGTGCAGGCTGACATGATGCTGGTCCTGGAGCCACAGAGCGGCGGGCAAAAGAGAGATCAGCGGTCAGCTCAGTCAAGCACCGCAGCGGAAGAGACAGTCGCTGCAGCATCCCCAAGCCGCAGAGACAACACGTCGCCACCACATAATCTCCCATTTCTCACTGTGATGAATTCGACTTGAGGGCGGGCGTATTGCACAGATCGCAATCAGTGACAGTGCTATAGATCGTCAGACGTGGACCGTAAGAAAATTTTGAATGTCGAATAGATCTAAACACATGACAATTCATTGAAGGTGGAAACGCCTTTGCCCTCTCAGGCACGGTGACCATGTTTGATCCCGGCACTTGCCTTGACGAGCGCGGGGTGCGCGAGGACTCGGAAAAGCATCCCGAACATAAATTTAGACATGTAAAAACCTTCTCACAAGCGCAGCTGGCACTGGTCTTGCATGTCCTGTGCTGTACCGTCAGGTGTGCGGTCGGTTGTGACAAGCTCGCTCTGGAATGCACTGAGGCCGGCCCACAGGCACGGCGACCAGTGCAGGCTGGATTGAGCGTGATGCATCCCGGCGTCCAGCATTCCTTTGCACGTGCAAGGTGATGCCCAGAGCAGTATGTATCATAACACCAAAACCACTAAACCCAAAGCACTCGAATCGCCATGGTTACCCCACCCTAGGCCTCATGGTGCAGGCGGATCCCCCGCACCTTCAGCCTGTTTCCCGTAGAATCCCTCGGGGGCTTGCAATTCATTTCTCGGGAGTCCTTCGGCAAGCATGCATTTTTAAGAAAATTTCACGCGTTTCCCATCACCCCCGGGGATCCTTCGGGGCTGCGGTGCTGACCTGGCCGCCTCGCGGTCAACAACGGGTATAGTGATATATAATATGCGTATATATGCTTGTGGACTGGCGAGCTGACGCAGCTTGTTGAAAGGGCACCGTTTGACCCGCGCCCACTCCCATACAGCTTTGCTTGAATTGTGCAGTCATGTGTGCTGCCTGCGGGTGCGATTGATCACGTGTATGCAGAGAAAACAAATTCAAACGCCTCCCCAGCCCCCGAGGAATCCCGGGGACCCCCTAGAGGTCCCCGGAAATCCCCGAGGATTGCCGGGGGAATCCCGGTGTTTGGGAAACGCAAAATTCCCTCGGGGCCCAAAGTTTCCGAGGAATGCCAGAGGAATTTGCTTATGGGAAACAGGCTGCTTGCGTGTTTCGGCGCCCAAGGCCGTCATAGCAAGGGGCCCGAGGCGCGCACCAGGTTCAACACAACGAGAGACACAGACCGTCATGCCACAGTCTTTGATGTGCGACGCCGCAACGCACGGCTGCCGGCTCGTTTGCAAGTTGGAAGGTTCCCCAACAATCTCACCAATGTATCTGTGAGCTTGCTGCAGATATCAGTTTGTGCGTCGAGGGAGGATTCTGCAGCACAACAGGACGTCTGATATATGCGCAGGCATGCGTTTGGAATTATGCTGTGTGCAATTGTGCTGTGCATCCGTGCAAGTAATGCCTGCAGTGTGTGTGTGCATGTGTATGTGTGTGCGCATGCGTTCGTGCGTGTGTGTGCGTTGTGCGTGTGGGGTTGTGCGTGCGTGCGTGCGTGCGTGCGTGCGTGTGTGTGTGTGTGTGTGTGTGTGTGTGTGTGTGTGTGTGTGTGTGCCGGGGGTGCGTACGCATGTGCGTGTGAGGGTGTGCGTGCGTGTACATCTGCGCGTATGCGCGTACGTGCGTGTGGGTGTAGCTGGTCGGATGCACAGGTTCATGATGTAACACCAGCCGCCAGTGGCAGCCAGGGGTGCGCCCTTGCTCAAGCAACACCTTCCAAACACCCACGCTTCCAGCAACCGCTCAACGCCACGCGAAAACGGCCACAACTCCTCACCAAGCTGCTGTGTGACACGCAGTGGGCTGGGGCAGGGCTAAAAAGCCTGCGACAACTGCCGCCCTGGGCTTGCTGCCTGTCTGCCCTGTGCTCTTGCTGCGCTCCCTGCTGTGCTCGTGCTGAGTCGGTTGCGCCCATGTTGTGCCTGGGGACCTTGCGCAGTGCGAGTCAGGGCCAAGCAACGCAAGAGCCATGTCGTGTTATTGCACATTTTCATTGGCGCTCTCGCAATACGATGTACGGTGATGAGGCATGTTTCTCTTTTTTGCTTGTCCCAGTGATCTCGCGCACGCCTTTCATTTTGTCGCCATAATCTGATGTATGATACTTTTGCCGATGCTTTCGTTCAGCCAGACAGCTGCGTGACGTAAGATCACAATCGAAAATATGGCGGGCTCGTCGGGCAGCCAGGAGCCGGTGCTGCAACTGCTGCATAAATACTTTGCTAATCGCATAATTTGAAACCGTGCTCCTGGGCACGGGGGCTTCCAGCCCGGCGCGGAACTCCGCTGCGCCACCGCGCGCCTTCACAACCAGCTGCTGCAATGGACGCGGCCGCAGAGCTGGAGCATCGCCGGCTCGACCAGCTGCAGCACCAGGCGTCGGCGCTGTCCAGCGTTTGCGATGAGCTGCTAAATGACACCAGCCAGCGCAGCCATGACCTGCAGGAGCTTTCGCAGGTGGGTGTTCTTGCCCACGAACGACAGACCCCGTGCGCGCGTTGCTGCAAAGCGCTGTTCCTGCTATGCCCCCACCTCATGAAACCATGCTGCTGGCACGACTATACGCCTACAGGTGCTTGATGATATCAAGCGGATGCAAAGCGGCGGTGCTTCGAGCACGCAGGTGCGATGGAGCTGCAGGCCCCCTACGCGGTTGCAGTTGACCACCGCTTGAGGCAATGAGTGGACGTGTGTGCCTGCGAGCACCTGTGTATTGACCAATATCAACTGGTGCGAGCACTTGCCTCACAGGGAGAACGGAGCTCTGGGGAGCAGCAGGACACTCCACAGCGACAGAGCTCACCTCCAGCACGGCTGCAGCGGCAAGCAGCGGGCAACCGCCAACGCTCAGAATGCGGCCCGCGACGGCGCAGCAGCAGCCAAGTGATAACAAGCGCGGCAAGCAGAGGCAGGGCGCAGGCCTCCAAAGGCGGGGACAGCAGCGGCGGCAGCTGCGCCGATGACGGGGCCGACTGCCCATTGGTGGGTGCCGCCAGGCCAATGCTCGAGGGCCTTGGGCCCCCGGCGGGGCCTGGCCATGCGTCGCCGCGCGTGCGTTGCGCACTCTTTCGCAACGACGACGACAGCGACCCGGACGGGGCGGGAGCGGGCGCGCACGGGCGGGCCAACGGCCGCCGCCGGCGCCTGAGCACCGACGGCAGCAGCGAGGAAGCGGGTGGCCGCCCCTCGTCCCGGGGTCGGGCAGCAAATGACACCGACATAGGGACGCGTGCGAGTGGCAGCTGCTATCACAGTCACAGCAAGAGCTGGCCCGAATCCAAAGGGTCGGAGCTTGAACTGCTTTTGGGCATCTGCTCGCCGGCCGGCAGCAGCCGCAGCAGCCTCGCCCAACCGGACAAACTGGCGGCGCCTCGCGGCGGCGGCGGCCCCGCCACCAGCGGCGGCAGCAGCAGTGCCCCTGCGAGCCCCTGCAGCAGCGGCGGCGGCGGCGGCGGGTTGCGGCACGGCACGTTTTCTTTTGGCGCGGGCGGCGGACGCAGAGGCGGAGGTGGAGGCGGCTTACGGGCGCTGCCTTACATAACGCCAGCCAAGATCCCGCCTCCCCGCCTGGCGACGGGTGAAGCGGCTGCACGCAACAGCGGCTCCTGCAGCCCCCGAGCCCGACCGCGCAGCGGCGCCGGCAGTAAAGCCAGGCCCCACGCAGCGCAGCCGCGGCTGCGGCCAGGCAGCTCCCGTGGCAACGGCGGCTACAGCGGCGTCGGCGGCTCGTCCGCAGCCAGCAGCAGCATTGATCTTGCAGACGGCAGCGACGCCAGCAGTGGGGCGGGGCTGGGCGACCTGGCCGCGTGCACGCCGGAGGAGGCGGCGCTGCTGCGCGCGCTGCGCGGGGCGCGCAAGCAGCGCACGCTCGCGCAGTCGGTGCTGCGGTCGTCGGCGCGGAAGCCGCAGAGGCGGCGGGGCAGCGCGGAGCGGTCGAGAGAGGAGAGCAGAGGACGTGATGAAGGCAACGGCGGCGCAGGGGCGCTCACCAACGGCGCCGCCAGCAGCGAGGAGGGTCGTGGCGAGGCGGCTGCTGCTGGCGCAGCAAGCCGCAGGCGGGAAGCTGCGAAGCAGCTGCTCGTAGAGGCGATGCGGTGCGGCTCGAGCAGCGAGTCTGCGAGCGCGGCGGGCCGTGGCAGGGACGGCGCGCAGCGCCATCCTCGGGATGGGGAGCGGCGGCAGGTCAGACCGCCGGTTGCAAGCCAGCAGACACCAGGCGATGGCGTGCAGCGCATGTCACAGCTGTCGGGTGCTGGGGGCAGCATCGGCCCCTCAGCTGGCGCGCTGCCCTGGGGCAGCGGAGAGAGCAGCGGAGGCGGGGCGAAGCAATCCACACCGGCGTTGTCGCAGACGCATGAAGCCGCGCCCTCGAGTAGCTCGGGCCGCCCGGCCCGGGCGCGCGCAGCGGCGGTGGCCCCCGAGGCGCCAGAGGCAGCGGGGGAGCCCACAAGCAGCGTAGGCAGCACAGGAGAGGCCGCGATGGACGAGCTGCTGTCAGAAACGCTCAGCCGTGCTGGCCGCGCCCACGCGCTCCTGCAGGATGCGGAGGCCGCCGCTGCTGCGGACGAAGATGCCGATGGCACCGACGAGAGCGGCAGCGGCGGCGGCGGCAGCGGCAGCGGGCGTACTGGAGTCTTATCGCAGAACACGTCTCCAGGGCCGGGGGCGTCTGGGACAGATGGAACCGCCGGCGCCGGCTTGTTGTCCCAAGCAGTGGCGCAGCACGAGGGGTGGGGGGATCATAAGTCTGACCCAGTGGAGTGTGCTCAGCAGCAGCAGCAGCAGCAGCAGCAGCAGCAGCAGCAGCAGCAGCAGCAGCAGCAGCAGCGGGAGGAGGGCAGGCCTGCAGGACTCAGCGCAGAACCAGCTTCATTTGCACATCCGCCGCAATCAACAGACT